CCCAAAGTAAAAAAGACAAAACAGAACAGAGATAAATGTAAAGTTTCTTCATTAGAGATAAAGATTAATTGCTGATTAGCATAAAATATAAATGAATATAATATATATTATATATAACACGTATATATAATATATAAAATTACGTTTGTCAAAAATATGGTAGATGTAAAAGGCTACTGGCAGAGTGGGAAAATTCTAGCATACACGACAGAGAAGAGGTTGGTATTCTTACACAAAGAACTTTTGCAAACCAGTAAGAAAACGGCAAAATCACTCCAATAGAAAAACGGCAAGGAATAAGAAAAAGCAATTCTCAAAAGAAGAAACATAAATAGCTGACTAACGATAAAATTCAGTCTCACTGTCCACAGTAGGGAATGCAAATTAAATACAATAAAACCTGCAAGGGCGGGGCGCCTGGGTGGCTCAGTGGGTTAAGCTGCTGCCTTCGGCTCAGGTCATGATCTCGGGGTCCTGGGATTGAGTCCCGCATCGGGCTCTTTGCTCGGCAGGGAGTCTGCTTCCCTCTCTCTCTCTCTCTCTGCCTGCCTCTCCGTCTACTTGTGATCTCTCTCTGTCAAATAAATAAATAAAAAAAAATTAAAAAAAAAAAAAACCTGCAAGGGCATATGCAGGCCTGAAACTCTTGGGAGCTGGGTCCTCCAAACTATACATGCAAAATTAAGTCTGAATGTAAATTATAAGTAAAGCTACAATGAATGAATCTTTTTATGGACATGCGTATGCCGTACTCTTTGCTGAATAAAAACATGGAATTTCTGAGTCCTATATAAAGCGTATGTTTTACTTTAAAAGAAACTGTCAAACCATTTTGGAAAAACCATTTTACATTCTCGTTGGCAGTGTATGAGAGTTGCTCCTCACTCTCATCAGAACTGGGCAAAATCAGTCTTTAGTTTTAGCCATTGTAGATGGGTAGTGGGATCTCACTGTGGTTTCAAGTTGTATTTCCTTAATGATGTTGAGCATCTTTTCACATCTTTTTTTTTCTTTTTCTGTCATTTGTATATTTTCGGTGAAATGTCTTCAGATATTATATATTTTAAGATCTTGGCTAATTCCATCATTTCTGTCATTTCTTGGTCTGTTTCTATTGATCTTTTTTCTCCTGCTTATGAGTCATGTTTTTTTCCCTCTTTTCTCTCTCTTTCTCTTTTTAAGGATATTATTTATTTATTTGAGAGAGAAAGAGAGAGAGCACAAGTGGGGAGGGGGGGCAAGGCAGAGGGAGAGGGAGAAGCAGATTCCCAAATGAGTAGGGAGCCTGAGAGTGGGCTGGATCCCTGGACCCCAAGATCATGACCTGAGTCAAAGGTAGACACAACCAACTGAGCCACCCAAGCGCCCCAGTCATGTTTCATGCTTAATAATTTTCATTTGCATGTTGGGCATTATACATTTTACTATAGTGAGTATTGGATTTTTCTGTTTTTCTTTAAATAGTGTTGAGCTGTTTGTTGTTTGGTTGGTTGGTTTCTCTGGAGCACAGTTATGTTACTTGGGATAAATTTGATCTTTTTGGCTCTTGATTTTAAGCTGTGTTAAGGTAAGTCCAACTCAGTTTTTAGTCTTAGAGCTAATTTGCCCCTAATACTAAGTCCCCTCTTGAGAGCCAGTGTTTCATGTATTAAGAGGTCTCTCCATTTTGGCTTGTGTGCAGGTAATATATTCCCAGCTCTGTGTGAGCTCCAGGAATTATCCGGCACACTGCTTTTTGATGGTTCTTCCCCTGGCTTCCTGTAATTTCACCCATGCGAGCTCTGAATTGTATTCAGTTAAAGACTTGAGGGGTTCCCTCTTTGGATCTCTGGATCTCTCTCTCCCCCCCCAACTCCTTCCTCTCTGATCTTCTGCTCCCCCAATTCTAGCCGCTATAGATCCTGAACTCTGATCTCTGTCTTTTGAGCTCTTTGGGATTGCTGGGCTCTGTTCAGGTCCCCTCCCCCCCAACCCTCCCTGTGCAGTAATACCTAGAAACTGCATTGAGACAGCAAACTAGAATAATTGTAGGACTCACATAAGTTAGTTTCCCCTATCATAGCTGTCATAATCCCTGGCTGCCTGTTGTCCAATGCTTACAGTTGCTTGGTATATATTTTTTTCCCTTAGTTTTCTAGTTGTTCACAATATAAGGACCATTCCTATGGCAGTTAATGCTTCATGGATGAGAGTGGAGTCTCTCTTTCCTATTTTCAACTTTAAAAATCCTGGGGGAGAACTTTTACCCAGCTTATGTTCAGTGATCACCCAAGAGCCGATCAAAGTAGTAAGGACTACAAAAGAAAATGATGCTTTTTAAGACTGAAGTATGGGGAGAATCATTTTCCAATACAAAATGGAGAGATCTTCTTAGAAGAAAGGGGGAGGGTGTGGGGCAAAAACAGAGAAGCAGCATCCATTGTAACAACAGTTGGTGTGAAAAAGAATAAAAAGTGAAACAACTGATAAGACCAAGAGTTCCGTTGTTGAAAAGGCTGTGTCCAATCCCTGGCCTTGTGCATTCCAAGGTCAAGGACAAACTGGAGGGGGGCTAGGGAGGAGAGATGTAATATGTGTAACAGTTGGCCTGAGATAAAATGAAGTAAAAACACTTTCTTCTCTCTCCAATCTTTCCCCTCCTCTGCCTTTTAAAATTTGCTGTGTGGAACATTTTTCCCAAACCTTGACTGAATTCTGGGGTTTGTCCCATTACTTTTCTCGTCTTTTTCAGACAACAGAGAGACCTCCAGATATTTTAATCCCATGAATGGTCTCACTTCATGAATTAAACTGTCTGGTTCTGTGTAATAGTAAAATTCCATTTATAGAAGAATTCCATTTATAGGAATAGGGGACATGCTTCAGAAGGAAAACAGTATGCGGAGAGATTCTGTTTCTCCACCAAAAGGAAATCTTTGAACCATAATATTCAACTCCCTACGATAGCTAATAGCATATACTGACCTTTCCAGGGATTTGGGGTGGAGAGGCGAAGGGCATGGATGGAGAAGAGGGGTCTCACAAAGGTCCTATTTACTTGTTACTGTCCTGATCTACCTAGTAGATATTTCAATCTTTTTCTTACAGGGTATTATCTTAACCGTGTTATCTCGGGTAAGGCCTAGTGAGGCTAACACAGATAAAGAGAGAGAAACCAGAAAGTTTTACAGTTTTGTTACCCTGCAAGTTCCCCGGACAGAACACAGCATGCCATAAAGGGTGTAAACCCTGGAGTAGGTTATAAGGCAGAGGGAGAGAGGGGAACTGTGGTTTCTGCAGCAAATAAAGAGCGAGGCAGAACAAGCAGGTTTAGCATTGGCCTCTCTGAATAATTTCATTGGGCTCTAGGGCAAAGGAGCTGTCTCTGGTAGTCTGGTACCTGATCCTGGAGCAATTAGGCCTGAAGTGTGAGAGCCTCATAAGGAGGTGGTTCGGGTGTGGATTTAATGGGCTATGCAAGAAGGGGAACTAACCAGCTTCTAGCGAGGGCCTCAAAACTGGGTCAAGACGGCATTTAACAACAACTAAACTAAGCTAAATTACAGGTATTTTATGGGTCCTTTGGAAACCTCTTGTCATAGATGTCTCACCTCCGTCCCTTTTTTATGGGTGAGGTCTTTCTTCTTCCTGCAATCTCTGTCTCTGTTTCTCTCTCTCTCTCTCTCTCACAAACACACACACACACACATACACACACACACACACACACACACACATTGCTAGCACATTTCCAGCCTCTTTCTGTCAAAGTCTGAGATCTGCTTGCCTCTGCTAGTAAGCCATGTTGGGCAGGGCTCCTTTAAAGAAAGCTTCAAGCTAGCTCTCTCTGGTGCCTCTCACATCTGACACTGAATTATACATGACATGAGCATCAGTAAAGGGGAATAGTGCTCTGGGAGAGCACCATGGAGGGGGATGAGAAAGGCAGAGGCAGAACAGAGGAACAAAGTGGACAAAGGTTTTCCAAGCATAAGGGAATAATGTATCAGAACTTATATAATAAGGGCCAGGACCCAGGTGAGGAAAGTGAGACATTTGCCTTAGGGGCAAAATTTAAGGGCGTGCCATAAAAAAGTTATCAAGATAAATAATATTTAATGCAATTTAAAAAAATATCTAAGGACCTGTGTATAGGATACCATTTCCCCTTTTGCTTAAGGCACCAAAATGCCTCAGCAGGGCACTGGTGCTATGCCGTAAGCAGCTTCTAGCTTCTTCCTGGCCAGATTGTATCCCTGAGCCAATTCTACAAAGCAATGCTGGAGCGGCCCCCTAGGAAAGGCCTTCCTCAACAAATAACCTTTTATTTGAGTCTTGAAGAAGGAGGTGAGGCATGGAGTGTATGAACAGGAAAGAGGGAACAGCATACCTGCAAATCCAAAATGCCTCAGTTGGAAAGAGTTAGATGGCTCTTTGGGGAATGGTGGTGGCAATGATTTTGCAGGCAAGGACCAGATTATGAAACAATTCTTTAGTATTTTAACTAGGGGAGACAAATGCCCAGATTTGTTTCTTATGCATATGATGCTTTGTTGGGGGACAGATTGGAGGGGTCAGGCCTGAATACAGGTAAGTTCCTTAGGAGGCTAGCGCAGGGTCCAAGTGAAGGGATGACCGCATCCCCAACCAGAACAGGTGAAGCTAGATTCCCAAGGTCCAGGTCCAGGCCTTGGTTCCCCCCATAACCCTGAGGGTGGGGCGGCACCCGGGTGTCCTGCCAAAGGGGCCACCTCGGGGTTCCATTGGAGCGCCCGGTGCACCAGGGCGCGGAGGAACCGCCCAAATTCAGCCTCGGGCTGGGGCGATCGGGTCGGGGCGGGTCCCGCGGGTGCCCGACCTGCTCACCGCCCAATCGCCGCGGGCCCGCCGAGCCCCGGGGGGCTGGGGCCACCGCCGCCGCCGCCGCCGGAACGTGCCGCGGCTGCGCTGACGCGCGAGCGCCGGGCAGGGCGGCGGGCGCGCTCAGTCTGGTGGCGGCGGCGGCCGTGCGCGGACGGACGTTGTCGGAGCGCCGCAGCCGCCCGCTCCGCCCGCAGACGAGCCGAGACGCGCCGCGCTGTCCCGGCGGCGCCCGCTCGCCCGCCCGCCATGGTGTCATGGATCATCTCCAGGCTGGTGGTGTAAGTGGCCTTCCCCGCGCCCTTTCCTTCCCCTCCTTATCCGCCCCTGGTTCCCGGGCTGCGCGGGCCCCTGCAGCGCCCGGCCCCGTTCGCTCCGGCTATTAATACCCGGCGGCCGCTAAATTTAGCAGGTACAGTAGCTGCCGAGGACGCCTGCAAGCGGGCGACACAGGACGCGGCTGCTGCCCTGCGGGCCCGGGCCCGGGAGCGGGGGACAGGCGGGCGGGGCGGCGAGGGCGGGGGCGCACGGGGACTGCGCTGGCTGCGCCCCGCAGCGCCCCGGCCGCTTTTGTTCCCCGGGTGGGTGGGATTTGCAGAGGCCCCGAATGGGCGCGCCGCGGGGACACGCGTCTGTCTCCTTTGGGAGAAACGCCGGCGGGGTCTGCCGTCGCCGCGCCGCGCCGCCGCGCTTTTGTCAGGTGAAAATGACAGAGCCCAGCCGAGCCTGGGGCGCTGCCTGGAGGGGTCGGCGCGGAGAAGGGTGGAGAGATGAAGGCGGGGCTCCTACTGGGATTGAAAGAAAACTCCTTTTTCGGTTTCTCAGATTGACAGCGGTAAAGACAAGTAGGACACAGCGGGGACGTGTAGGAATCTTGGGGCAGACGCCTGGCGGACCCCATGTCTGATTCCTTTGGCGGGGGTCTGAGGGAAAGATAGGGGCAGGCAATCTCCAGAAATTCACGGGAAATTTCTAAGTGACAGCCGCTCAGGTGGTGGCAATGACACCTCCCAGGCCTTGTAGGAGAGCGCAGAGTCATCTGGGGTGAGGCCTCTGTGAAGTCATTGGGGGTGGGTGTGGGGGGCGTTTTTCTCTGTCAAGCCCCAGAGCTGAGTAGACATTTGAAGAGCTCCTTCCCTCGTGGATTTATTTTCCTTTGGAGCTACACATGGCTGTAGCAGTTCCTCTCCTTCCCTAACCATTTTTGCCTGAGTCAGGACAGATTTGCCACCTGCTCAGGGGAGCCAGGGCTGAAATTGGCCTGGAGAGTGTGGGTGGGAGGTGCACCTCAGGCTCTTTCTTTGTCTGGGAAAGAGGGGCTCCAGACTCTGGTTCATTGTGCACCATCACTCCCAATGTTGTGAAATATCTCCCATCTCCTGTCCTTCTTTACTGATTTTCTAAGAAGCCGCCAGAGGCAGCCTTCTGAAGTCATTCTCAGCATTGTAGCCCTGCCATCATTCTGGGCTTTCATCCCAAAGCCAGTGTTTGTGCCTCTTGGCCCCCAAGTCATCCATTCTATGCAGCGCTCTCCACAGCTGTTGCGGACTGCTGGGGTTTGTGCTGTATCTCGAGGTGGCATGTTAAATATTTAGAAGATTTCTGAGGGCAGAGCTGGCATGAATAATACAGGGAAGTGACTGGAACGCCTTGCCCCACCTCATGCCTGACCAAGGCCTGTCTTGCCTTCAGGGTGGTATTTTTTTCTCCTGAACTAGTGTGTGATCTTCATATTTGGCAGTGACTTCTGGGGAGCCCTCAGGGTGTGGCCGGAGACTCCCATTGGCCTGGCTGGAGAGCTCATTTTCTATAGGTTCTACTGCACTAGGCCTGGCCCCCTGGAGAGTGAGGGCTTCTAGTCTGGGGTCCATGTGACCATCTTTAATTTTATGAGCATTCCTCCTCTCCTACTACACAAGGCAGCTGAGTGGAGTAGAGAAAAGAGGCATCTCTTGGGAGGGGTCTCAGTGTTGCTGTTATTTTTAAAACCATGCTCCCCAGAAGTGAAGCTTCAGAGAACTTAAATGACAGGAGAACTGCCCCTCAGGTCAGCCCAGGACCCTCTGCCCCAAGGGAGAATTTGTGGGATTTGGGGGGTGTTATTTCCTCCGTCAACTCCAAAAGGTCAGGGATACCACCTATCTCCTGATCACTGTCTTTATAGAAACCCAACATGGAAGTGTCAGGTGTCAATTATTAAAAGCCAATTTAGTTAGCAGTACCGGTTTCACTTAAATAATAACCTGCTCGTTATAGGAAAATCAGAAAGTATAGATAAATAGATTGAAGATCATCTACATTATCACCACACAGAGATAGCTAATGGTAATTGTGAAAGGTCTCGTCTTCAAGATGTTTTTCCTATGCATATATGCACATACATTTATATTTCTAGTTCAAGGAATTTATTGATTCAGCCCAAATTTCCGCATCCCTCTTAGCAAGGAATAGGAATACTGAATTTGGAGTCAGAAAACCCTCGGTTCAAATCCCAGTTCTGTCTCTTGCCAACAGATGCCAGTTCACAAGAGATCCTAGTTCAGGAGCTAGTTAACCTCATGTTGCCGTTACAAAGATTTCAAGAACACGTGATTCATAAATTGCGGAGCATTTCCGTTCCTCCCACACAACAGATAATTAAGAGAGGGCCGAGGTAAGAGCTCTGGAAGGGGATCTCAGACTTAATCTACTCCTGTGTTTTGCAAACTGGCTTCCCTGAGGGCCACCCAGCCTGAGTGGGTGGGCTCTGGGCTCCCAGCCCTGATCAATGGGAGTAACTCTCCCTTTGGTGGTTTGTATATTCGGGTTCTAAATAAAAAATAATTTGAGAAATATATGGATTTTAGCACTAATGAAAACCACCCATCCCTTCTCCCCTCTCATCTGTAAAACTGTAGGGGGAGTGTGCCTTGCCCAAGGACACAAGGTGAGCTGGTGAAGAAAACAGGCTCTGGATTTTTGGTCCAATGCCCTTTCCACCTGTGCCCGTCCTTGACAATTGTCTGAAATTGACCTCTTTCAAGCTCCCAAGACCTCTGCTCTGGCATCCTGTGATTTTTGTCCACCAGTCCCGTTTCCTATAAGAAACTTTTTCAAGGCTTTGTAAGCCTCTGTGACATGAAAGAACATTTAAGGAAGAACATTTAACCTATCCCTGTGTTCTGAGGATGGAAAGGGAGTGTCTTCCTTCCAACCAGATCCTTCAAGACAAGCTGATGGCGTCCAGGCAGAGCCACATGGTGCTTGTAGATACCTATCTTGCCATTGGCTCCGAGTGTTTTTAGGACTGTAACCATGGCTTATTTCCCTTTCTGACCCCTCGCTTGCTCCCAAGGCCCTTCTCTGAAGTTCCTGGCACATTGTGTTCACTCAGTGAAGGCTGGTTGTGTGGGAGGAGCTCAGAGGTCCTGGGATAAGCGGGGGAGCCAGCCAGTGTTATCCCCTGAGCACAAAGGTTAGTGGGCATCAAGACAGGCTTGCGCCTACTGGGAAAGCTCTTGGAGTGAGAACCAATTGGAGATGCTGCTTTTTTGCTAGTTGTCTTCTTCCTAACTCCATTGGCTCAGGCTAGGAAGAATTAAAGATGAAATATTCAGTGTAGTGGCAAAGCTGGCTTTGTTAGACTCTAGCTGATATCTGCATGGAACACGGGGCTCATTTATGACTGGCCTGCTTGCCTCATTTACAAGACTCAGTTTTCTTTACAAAGAACTCAAGCCTTAGGCACCAGTGAATTTTAAACTGGGGAGAGTAGGTTTATGTGCCCTGGAGGATTCACACAGAGGTTGCTTTCTGCCTTCTTGGGAGAATGCACTATCTTGAAGCATTTATTCCAAGGAGCAGGTGTTGGTCGCATTGTCTTTGGACAGAATTTTGGCTGAGGCCCAGGATGTTGGCTAAATGAATCCAGAGCTTCCCCTTTGGTTATTGGACCAAAACTCCAGTTCGCTGTGTGGGGCAAAGAGAGTTCTAATTTTAACAATTCTCCAAATAACTAAAAGCTGTACAGAAAACCCTTATTTTCACAGTGCACTTCTTTAAAAAAAAAAAAAAAAGTCAGTTTTTAGAAGGTCCAGTCTGATGTTTAAGAGAGTCTTAGTTTAATGGCTACAGATCTGGCTATGTCCCAGGACTGTGATTTGGAGCATAAAGTCTATCTGTCCCAGTCAAGGATGTACAAATAAAGAAGACTAGAAAGAATGTGAGTTGTCCTCAAGATATTCTCCAACTGTTGCAAAACAAATGGAAATAAATGAAAAGGCCATACATCCTTAAACATGGACTTGCCTTTCTTTGGAGCTTGCTTTTAAAAAGCGGAATGCAGAAAAATGATCCCATTAATTGGAGGTTTAGGTTGGTTGAGGATTTATTTCCTGGCACTCTGGCATGGTAGAGGGTAGGAGCTGGGTAAATCTTTCAGATGAATCATGAGAGGGGGAAATGTTGAGCTGGAAGTCAGAGGATTTGGGGTCTAGTCCCAGCACTGGACTGACCCACTGTTATGATCTGGAGGGTACCTGCTCCCACCCTGGGGCCCTGCTCCTGGTCTGTGAGATAAGGCTGTGGACCAGTATCACGTTGGAGGTCCTGGTGCCCCTCTAGACCCCTTTCTTGTCCCCTTCTCCCCCAGCTGGCCCACATGCACCATGTTTATAAACAAGAGGAATATCCTCAGAAAGTGAAAAATACCAACTTCAATTTCACTGCTGTTCTGCTGCCTTGGTCTTTTGTTTATTAATCCTGCCTGCCTGCTGGGAAATTGCTTCTGGGCACTTTCCTCTGTTGTGTCTTCTTTGAAGGATAGCTGACAAGTGAGGGTTTTACCTGGTTATGACTGGCTCAGTTTCCCCTTCCTTCTGAAGTGAGCTATCGTTTTTGGAGCATGTATTATTTGCAAGAGGAAGAGAATGACAGAAGAGGGAGTCAGGCCCTCAGTGGCCACCTAGTGAGGCTGCCATTTTGTTGCATCTGTGTGTGTGTGTGTGTGTGTGTGTGTGTGTGTGTGCATGCGTGCGTGTATTTTTCAAGGAGGTTCCAGAGGCCGGTGGGGATGGGAAGACAATAGTCACAGAGCGTGGCTTGTTTGGATTTTCATCATCTGGGATGAGCCACGCACATGCCCAACTGGTTGCCAGGATTCTTGGTGTCTGTGAGAATTTTTCCAAGAATCAGCAAGAGCCCAGGGGGTTTGCATTTGGGTTATGAGGATGTTTTCCTCTCACTTCTGGGCCTTGGGTGGATTGGCCCCGATGAATTGGAAGATGGATCGTTCTATATGTTT